TTTTTATTGCGTGGACGGGGTGTGAGGGATGAGGTGCGGGAGATGTGGGAGACACGGTTGAGGGCATTCTCGACCACCGAGGAGGGGAAGTTACGGTCCTTGAAAAACGAGGACAACTGAGATGTACGGGAATGGAATGCCTCATCCTGGGAGCAGATGCGGCGGAGGCGAAGGAATTGGGAATAGGGGATAGCATTTTTGCAGGAAGGTGGGTGGGAGGAGGAGTATTCTAGGTAGCTGTGGGAGTCGGTGGGCTTGAAATGAATATCGGTTTCTAGGTGGTTGCCCGATATGGAGATAGAGAGGTCCAGGAAGGGGAGAGAGGTGTTAGAGATGGTCCAGGTAAATTTAAGGTTGGGGTGGAAGGTGTTAGTGAAGTATCATCCTGGGCCTCCTGCAGTGCCACAACAATGCCACCCGAAGGTTGCAGGAACAGCAACTCATATTCCGCTTGGGAACCCTGCAGCCCAATGGTATCAATGTGGATTTCACAAGTTTCAAAATCTCCCCTCCCCCCACCGCATCCCAAAACCAGTCCAACTCGTCCCTGTCTCCCTAACCTGTTCTTCCTCCCACCTATCCCCTCCTCCCACCTCAAGCCGCACCTCCATCTCCTACCGACCAACCTCATCCCGCCCCCTTGACCTGTCCGTCCTCCCTGGACTGACCTATCCCCTTCCTAACTCCCTACCTACACTCACCTTTCCTGGCCCCATCCCCGCCTCTTCGACCTGTTTGTTTCCTCTCCACCTATCCTCTCCTCTATCCCTCTTCTATCCGCCTCCCACTCTCTCCCTATTTATTTCAAAACCCCCTTCCCCTCCCCCTTTTCTGATGAAGGGTCTCGGCCCGAAACGTCAGCCTCTCTGCTCCTATGATGCTGCTTGGCCTGCTGTGTTCATCCAGCCCTGCACCTTGTTGTCTCGGATTCTCCAGCATCTGCAGTTCCTACTATCTCTGATTCTATTTTATGGTATAGTTTGTTTTGAAAGAACAAGGTTTTGAAAGGGGTTAGTTACATAAAACTCATGGTAGCAACAAAGCTTAAGTAGTCTCTGTACGTTCCCATTTATCTTTCCCAGATTATAATGTCTGAGGCAGAAGGGCCATGGTCTGTGCTGTTCTTGCATTCTCACCCCCAGTAGGTAAATAAACTCTGACTTGAGGATTCTGCTGATAGCAGTCTTTTCTTCCTGTCGTGGAACAGTGTTGGAGTTTGTATATGCATGAAATTAACTGACTGTACAAACCGAGAGGCCAGTGGAGAAAAAATGTCCTGAACCATTTGTTGGGGATATTCTATTATCGAGAGTCATGAGTAGCTTGTAGTGAAGCCTCCACTTTGCCATATGGTTCCTCCGAACTTCACCTCTGCCAGATGAGTGTCTAATATTTTGCTTTCAAGTGACCTGTTTTTGGTATAGTTGGTCTCTTGTAGGGAAGCTTTTGACATGGCACCACCTGTGAAGCTGCGTGCTGATCACTGTTATCTTGTGCTTATCAGCTCACTGTAAATCATCTATTAATCCCAGCATTGTTCTGAAGTTCCAATTTGTAAATGGAGAGCGGGCATCTTCTTTTGTTCTGATGTGATGGATTTTGTCCATTTGTTGAGCTGAGATTCAAAGCACCAGTGAAGCTGAAGCATCAGAGACGGGCCTCAGTACCCAATAACTATGCCAAAAGAGTTGGACTTAATCACTAGTTACAACATCTATGTTGTTGTGTTAATGAACTTCAGCACTATTGGACATTGCTCTTCAGGATGCAAGTCTGGACAAGATTTCTGAAGAAAACTGAAAGAACTGCAGATGCTGTAAATCTAGAAAAAAAAACAGAAGTTGCTGGAAAAGTTCAAGTCTGGCAACATCTGTGAAGAGGAATCAGAGTTAATGTTTTGGGTCCAGTGACCCTTCCTCAGAACTGATGGTAGCCAGGAAGATGTCAGTTTATATGCAGAAGATAGGGTGGGATGAAGGGGTAAGGAGAAAACTATAGGTGGGAACAGAGCCCAAAGAGAGAGAACAGTTGTTAGACAGACAAAAGGAGTGGATGATGATCTGGCTGGGAGAGTGAATAGCTGTTAATGGAGACTGTTGGTGTCTAACAATGGGTAGTGCGTAATGTGTGATAACAAGGCCTGGTGTGTGGGGTAGGGGGCTAGGACATGGGAGAGTTCAGGCCCTAAAATTATAGAAGTCAATATTGAGTCCAGAGGGCTGCTGGGTCCCCAGGCAGAAAATGAGGTATTGTTTTTCCAGCTTGCGCTGAGCTTGGCTGGAACACTGCAGTAAACCTGAGACAGAGATATTGGCCAAGGAGCAGGGTGGTGTGTTAAAGTGGCAGGCAACTGGAAGCTCGCTCGTTTTTGCAACAGAATGTAGATATTCTGTGAAGCGGTTTCCCTAATGTAGAGTAGACCACATTGTGAGCAGCGAATGCAGTAGACTAGATTGTGTGAAGTGCAGATAAAGTGCTGCTTCATCTGGAAGGTATGTTTGGGCCCTTGGATAATGAGGAGGGAGGAGGTAAATGGGCAGGTGTTACATCTCTGGTGGTTGTAGGGGAAGATGCCATGGGGCTTTGCGGGGGTAATGTTGGGAGTAAAGAAAGAGTGGACCATCGTGTCCCGGAGGGAACAGCCCCTGCAGAAGGACAAGGGAGGGGAGGGGAACGTGTATCTGGTGATGGCATCTCACTGGAGGTGGTGGAAATGGCTTCTGGATGTGGATGCTGGTGGGATGGTCGGCAAGGACAAGGGGAACCCTAACGCTGTTGCAGGAGGGAAGAGCGGGGTTGAGGGTGGAAGTGCGAGAGATGGGTTGGACCTGTTTGAGAGCTCTGTCAACAATGGTGCCGGGGAATCCTCGGCTGAGGAGGAAGATGGACGTTTTCAGAGGCTCCCTTGTCGAAGTTGACCTCATAAGAACATATACAACTGAGACGGAGGAACTGACAGAATGGAATGGAGTCTTTACAGGAAGCAGGATGCGAGGATGTTTAGTCCAGGTAGCTGTGCAAGTTGGTTGGTTTGTAGTGAATATTAGTGGCCAGTTTATCCCCAGAAATGGAAACGGAAACGGAGATGTCGAGGAAGGGAAGGGAGGAGTCAGAGATAGATCAGGTGAAACTGTCGGCAGGGTGGAAATTGGAAGCGAAATCGATCAAACTTTTCCAATTCCAGATGAAAGAGGGAAGCAGCACTGATGATATCAGTGCTGCTTATCAGAGAAGGAGTTGTGAATGGGGGCTGGGATAAGGTTGGAACAAGGAATGTTCTACATAGCCAACAATGAGACAGACATAACTGAGGCCCATGCGTGTACCCATGGCCACCCCTCTGACCTGAAGATTTCTGGAGAGTCTGGACAACTCTTTAGACTACTCCCTCAGGACTCAGCCAGGGAGGTAAAGTAATAAATTTGTCAATACTGTTTCAACCTTTGCAGTTTTGCAACTTTTACATAATGCAACTGCCGTTTCGTACTGTCTCTCTTTGTCTGTCTCTGCCTGGTTATTTGTGAGAAGGTCAATGTACGTAGGCATGCTAAATTTGTTACTACTACTTAGACTAAAAAAAAATTCTTTTGAATCTACTGTTCTAATGGAAAATTGCACATGAACATTCTGCCAACTTTAGAAGTGATGTTGGACTATTCAAAATATTTAAGTGGCATTTTGTCAGGATCTTCAGGTTGTATGTCTCGTTGATCATCACTGAGCAGGCATTACAGAACTGGTGCTAGTCCATGCTGAGTTGACACTATCTATCACAGATTTACTATATCATTGCTGAAATCCTGCTGGCAATTACTATTGTATAACATTCTTATTGGGTTTCTATTTACCAAATAATTTAGTTTTTTTTCTGCTGCTAAGTAGCATACGTTCCTACTATTTTGCTTGCTTTCTTCCAGACTGTCAAATGAAGAACTCTACACAGAAGCATGACTTACCTTGCAGTGTGCCTGCACCACCTCAGATTCCTCTACCTGAGATCCCTCATCCATGGCATGTGAGTAGTTCCTCATTCTTAGCATAACTACAGCTGAAATATTTTGAACAGAGATGTTTTATCCAGCAATTATCTGTTCTAACTGTCATCCAAGGACAAATCTTAACCATAAAGGAACAATTATTGACCTCTTTATATAACATGTTTATAGCTTTATTGAATATTAATTCCTAGATTGCCACTAGGTCAAGGAAAATTCTACTTTCCATTTTTTCTTCTTTTTGGTACTGCTATTAGATTTTCAATTTACTCAATGATGGAGCAAGAAGCGGCGAGACAGTTTGAACATCCGATTGCACATGCTTAGGACATAAAGGGATTTCAGTTCTGTTGCAGATAATAAAATATGATACATTTTCTAAAGTTCTATTCCATGTGTTGTATGAGCAATTAAATTGGATCTGCACTGCTGCTTACCATGTTGTCTAGGTGGGCCAGCTCATTACATTGTATGGCCTGCTGCTCATGATAAATGTTGCTGCACCATCCTCATTATGGGTAGGAAACTACAAGATATGTTTGATCAAGTAGGGTGGAAGAAATCACCTCTTAGTCTAACTAGAAGGATTTGTTGTAATAAACAATATACATTTAATTGAATGTTTGCAACTAGTTACTAGTTACATTGATATGATGGACGTAGTTACAGACACTTTAAGGAGGACCAGATGTAGGTCTTATTACTTCAAGATCCTAAGCTGCTCTGGTCCAAAAGTAAATATGATATAATTACAGTTGGTGGTGCTTATGGCAGTGCTCAGTATTAACCCTTTCAGACTCTTACTCAATAGGTACCTGTGAGCATCATGGCACTGATGAAAAGAAATGAAATTATTACTTGCGGTTGGAGACAAAACCCAGAATCTTAGGAATAATCATGGTCCATGATGTTTCCAGAAGCTGGAAGAGGAAGCAGTGCAGAAAGAAACAAGTAGTGGAATGAATATGAGAATAACACGTTGAGGAAGTGACTCAAGTGGCTTTAGCAGTCATGCAAGTAGACACTACACTGTTATGAAAGGATTAATATAGCACAGTCTTTTCATCAAAAGCTGCATTAGGCCTCTTTGCAGAGAAAATGAAGTTGAACTCTATTATTTAAAATGGGGAAAATGAAGTGTAACTCTTTTAACAAGAAAAATGGTTAATTAATCAAACGCAAAATTTTATTTTAAGCATAACAGCTATGCCTACACTCAAATTCGTAAGTTGTTAAATACTTCGTGACCTGAGGATGTGATAAGGTATCAAATAAATGTTTCTTTCTCATTGCCAAGCTTTCTGAAAAGAAATGACAGCAAGTTTCCCTTCCCCAAAACCTATTTTGGCAGCCTCTGTACCTGATATCCAGTCACTGGTCTTTTGACCATTCCTTTATCCTGTTTCTCTTCCTGCAGCCAATGCAGTTCTTAATTTTAGTATTCCTTATGCTCTTTCCACTTAGTTATCATGTACAATTAATCCTGCACTCATTCTGATGTTGGTAAGCGCACACAATTTTATTAATACCATGATGTAATATTGTTCCAATCATTTGACACATCGTGATTTGTCACTAATTCTTATAGAGCTCATCGTGGTATTGTACTTGTTAAAGTGAAATTATGGACTATGACATTGTTATATCAGTCACATCTTACATTTGTAGCAGTAATGATTAGGAATGTGTAGCAGAAACCTTCTAACCTTGCTTTCAAGATCTTTTGAAGGTGGAGGGAGTAATTGGGAAATTTTTTAGCAAATAATACACGATTACCACTTAAAGAAGATATATTGAATACAAAAGCAGGGAAGTTAATGTTGAACCTTTGCACTGATTAGGTCTCAACTTGTATATCATGTAGGTTTCTGGTAATCACATTTTTGGAAAGAAGTGTAGGTTGTTGAGTGGATGAAGATGAGATCTACCAGATTGGTTTCAGGGGTGAGTAATTTTAGTTACAAATGATCATATCATGTTGGAGAGGCTGAGATTTCTTTTTCCTTGAAGCAAAGAAGATGGAGGGGAATTTGATAGAAATGTACAGATTATGACAGTTTGTTTTATTCACTCGTAGGATGTGGGCACCGTTGGCATTTATTGCCTGTCCCTAGTTGCCCTTGAGCAAGTAGTAGTGAGCCATCTTCTTGAACCACTGCAGTCCATGTGCTTTGGTAGACTCAAAATGTCATTAGGGAGAAAATTCCAAGAGTTTGACCCAGCAACAGTGAGTGAAGGAACTGCAATATATTTCCAAGTTAGGATAGTGAGTGGCCTGGAGGGGATCTTGGAGGTGGTGGTGTTCCCATGTGTCTTCTGCCCTTGCCTTCAAGATGGAAGTGGTTATGGGTTTAGAAGGTGCTGTTTAACAATCTTTGAATTTCCACAGTGTGTCTTGTAGATAGTAAACACTGTTACAACTGAGCATCAGTGCTGGAAAGAGTGTTTGTAGATGTGGTGCCAATCAAGTGGACTGCTTTGTCCTGGATGGTGTCAAGCTTCGAGTGTTGTTGGAGCTTTACTTATCCAGGCAAGTGGGGAGTATTCCATCACACTCCTGACTTGTGCCTCATAGATATTGGACAGGCTTTTTGGGAGAGAGGTGAGTTATTTGCCATTGTATTCCTAGCCTCCGACCTACTCTTGTGGCTACTTTATGTGGCAAGTACAGTTCCGTTTCTGGTTAATGGTAACCCCCAAAATGTTGGTTAGTGGGGGATTCAGTGATTTAGAATACTATTGAATGTCAAGGCAGGGGTGGATTAGATTATCTTTTATTGGAGATGATCATTGCCTGGCATTTGTGTGGCACAAATGTTGCTTGCCACTAGTCAGCTCAAGCCTGGATATTGTCCAGATCTTGTTGCGTTTTAACATGGTCTTCTTCAGCATTTGAGGAATCACGAATGGTGCTGGACATTGTGCAGTCATCAGTAACTATCCCCACTTCTGACCTTATGATGGAGGGAAGGTCATTGACGAAGGAGCTGAAGATGTTTGGGCTGAGGACACTACACTGAAGAACTCCTGCAGAGGTGTCCTGGAGCTGAAATGACTGACCTCCAACAACCACAACCATCTTCTTAAGTGCCAGGTTTGACTCAAAGCCAATGGAGAATTGGCCTGCTGATTCAGCTAGAGCTCCATGATGCCACTGTGGCCTCAAGGGCTGTCACTCTCAACTCACCTCTGGAATTCAGCTCTTTACAGCCTTGGTTCAAACAAGGCTGTAATGATGTCAGGAGCTGAGTGGTGCCAGGTGGAACCCAAACTGGGAGTCACTGAGCAGGTTATTGCTAAATAGGTGCTGCTTTATAGCATCATTGATGACACTAGAGAAGGAAAAGTTGCTTCCATTAGCTGATGGTGCAAGTACAAGGGGAGGCAGATTCAGTGTTTTGTGTAAGATGTATAGTGGTGATGTGAGGAAGAACCTTTTTGGTCAGCAAGTCATGATGATCTGAAACTCGCTACCTAGGAGGCAGGCCGTTGTGATCCCAGTTGATGCCAATATTTGTCAGATCAGTTTCCAAAATGAAAGCTGACTTGATAGGTCATATGTTTGATTTTTGTAGTTGGTTGCAATGGTAGAATCAATGAAATGGTGTTAAATTGCTGGAACATATTCACACAAAAGCAAAAACAACACGTTTATGTTTATGTTTATGTTTATATATAGAAAATAGAACAGTTAGAAAGGTCTTAACACAAGCAGCAAAAACATCATTTTGACCTGTTTCCCAACACTTTTTTTTCCTTTTATAGATTCTTCATTATAGCCCAAAATTCATTGAGGTAAGGACATAGAGAGATGAAGCGAAGACCTTTGCTGAGCGCAGAATGTTCAGCAACAGAATGGAGAGTAAATACCCAAAGGGTGGTGGGGTCAGCGGGAAGGGAAGGGAGGGGTGTTCTAGCAGGATGTGGGTCCCATTCACTGCCTCCTCCTCCCACCCTTGTGAAAGATTGTTTTATGATTGAGTCACCTCAATCTGTTTCTGCAGTCTAGAATAAATAGCTTGTTTTGTCAAAACCCTGAACATTAAATAACTTTTACTTTGAGCTAGAAATTTTATTGGGGCTTTTAGTTTTGGGTGTGATGGCATGTTACCAGGGTTTGAGGGTTTGAGCAATAGGGAGAGGCTGAATAGGCTGGGGCTATTTTCCCTGGAGCATTAGAGGTTGAGGGATGACCTTTATAGAAGTTTATAAAATCATGAGGGGCATGGATAGGGTGAATAGCCAAGGTCTTTTCCCCAGGGTAGGGGAGTCCAGAACTAGAGGGCACAGGTTTAAGGTGAGAAGGAAAAGATTTGAAAGGGACCTAAGGGGAGGTGGAGGGTGGTGCGTGTATGGAATGAGCTGCCAGAGGAAGTAGTGAAGGCTGGTACAATTACAACATTTAAAAGACATCTGGATGGGTATATGAATAGGAAGGGTTTAGAGGGATATGGGCCAAATGATGGCAAATGGGACTAGGTTAATTTAGGATATCTGGTTGGCATGGACAAGTTGGACTGAAAGGTTTGTTTTGGTGCTGTTCATCTATGACTCTATGTAACTTCATTTGGGAGGGTGGTATATTTGGCTGCCCATGATATCTAAAAATGGCTCCATTCCCCTACCCCCAAATTTTAGTGGTGGCCCAAACATGCACACAGATCGGGAATGGGCCATCATACTGGTGCATTTCTTATTGTTTTCGGTTATTTTTGATATCATGAATACTAATTTATAAATCCTTTCTGTTGAAGCTCTGACAAGGATGCTTACTAGTAACTAGTAGTTAAAGGGTTGTTTGGCAGCATGGAATATTGTGAAACAGTGCCTTCAAGAAAGAGATTAATCGGCAATAAAATGATAGCAGAGAGAAGCCAGTTGATTGGAACTAAGACCATATGAGCTGCTATCTAACATGTTTGTGACTGGCATATCTCAGTGGGAGATGAATGTGGTAGTGCAGAGAAAATGCTTTGTCTATCACAGTATGTTTACTGTGATCTTAGCATTGTAATTTTTT